CTTGGTCCATGGGCTGTAATATAGACGTAGTGTTGGGAGGAAGGAAGACCACTTTTACGTTGGAGTGACGATCTAACAGTAGGGGCGAGTGTCCTGGTGCGTTGTCCAGCAGCAACAAAATATTGAATGGCACATTCTGTCACTCACAGAATTTCTTTACATGGGAACAAAACAGTCATCAAACCAGGAGAGGGACAGTGTAGAGAACATCCATGCCTTACTTGCGGTCAGCCAGTGGACATTTAGCTTGGTCATGTCCATGGTTTTGTAGGCGTGCGGCTTGCATGCTGTGTGGATCACCGATAACTTGAGCTTACAGGTACCGGAGGCATTGGTGGTAAACAGGACGGTGATGCGTTCCTTCTGCATCTTCCGGCCCCGAATCCTGCTGGCATTCTTTACAACGAAGGACTTGGAAGGTAGCTTTTTCCAGAAAAGACCAGATTCGTCCATGTTAAACACCTGGTCGTCACTGTACTGTCCTTCCTCCATAATCTCACGTAAAAACGGAGGAAATTCCCTAGCCGCAGCACGGTCAGCACTCGCTTCTTCACCACCAATGTTTATATTGGTGATCTTATTCCGGATCTTAAACCTCTGTAACCACCCAGAGGAAGCATTAAAGGGTTTGGGCTCTGTAATTCCCATCTTTCGTGCCACTGCGATGTACAGTTCACGTGCGTAGTCCTTAACAGAGCGCGTGTCGACCGCCATGTTCCGTCGCGCCTGACGCACCAAGTACCTCACAAGTAATTTTTCTGTCTTGAGAAGCACCTGATTGTGAAAATATTTGATCATAGAAGCACCTGTAGACTTTGTGATCTTCATGTGCTCCTTTATCTTGGCTGCATCCTTCTTTATTGTTCGAATCGTAGATTCATTCACACCATGCTGGCGCGCCAAATCAACCTGCCTTGTTCCTTTCTCCAACTCATGGATGATGGTATACTTCACCTCGTAGCTTAAGGAACGTCGTGTCTTCTTTGGCTTAGTGCCGCTGGGTCCAGGTAAGGAAAGGTCTCTCTCTGGGGGTGGTGGTCCGGCGGAAGCCATTTTACGGAACAATGGATGCGCGTTTACACGGTGTGGCCTTGAGGGATGAAACTGCCGCGGCTAGGTCAAGCGTCGTCTTTCCTCCCTCCCTCCCTTCCCCCCCCCGGGTGGACACGTCATAATAGTTTAAGCCAATTACAGCTAGCAGCAGAGGGGGGTAGGGATGCATGGCCAATCACAGGTCTGATACGTCATATGACGTCAGTGATAACTCAACAAAGACACACACTGCGCAACCTTACCGCGCCGCTTGCCCAAGCGGAGGGGGCGAGGAGCACAGGCGGGCGGGTGGCGGGTGGGGCGAATCTAAAAATAGCGTCGCGCCGGACACTCCGCGTAATGGGGTTCACGTACCGCATAATGTGAGCACATGAGGTTCTGGCAAGGCACCGCGTTAACGTGGAAACGTGGAATGCGGGACCACGTAAAGTGAGGGTTAACTGTATTGTAATCTCCTCCAAACAATATAACACTAAATTATAGAAACACAAATATAGGTTAATTTATCCCTCTGGCCAGCCGTAGGAGAGACTCAAATGGGTGTCAGTGGTCTGGTTAAACTAAATCTTGATGATGATGATGATTATCCGCGAATGTTCACTCTACAGTCGCAGGGGTGGTGGTTTGGGGGGGGGGGATGGGGAGGATCCACTTGCAGTTCACTATGAATACATGAAATAGGAAGGGTTTCTTGGGCAGTTGATCCAAAAAGATTTACCAAAACGTTATGTCAGAATAATAATACTTAACCTAGGTGTTACTAATACCATTAATTTACTCTAGTATATAAAAGAAAGCCTGCATCAGTTACCACAACATAATATTACTCTGCCATTTTCCAGATATGCCTGCGGAACTGAGCAATTAAATAAAGCAGTGATTGCTAATGAGCCAAATCATCGGGATGAGAGAGCGAGAACGCTGTGCGGCATTGCTCTTGAGGTGGGGAGAACACTTAGCAGAGCGATTAGAGGTGGATCCGCCAGTGGGAGGAGGCTCAGCGAGCGAAACCTACCGGCGGGAAGCCCACAATGCGTCGGCAAGGATGGGCATATGATGTTAGCAGCTACCGCGTATATCCAATCACGAACATCAGTGGAGCATACAAAATCTGGTCCTCAACTTACCACATCACGCATAGCGGCAAGCGCCCGACTTCGCCAAGCGGAGATCAACTGCCATATTCCAGCTCTCAAAGGTGGCCCTTACCTACCTCACCAAAGTGTGTTCGGCTTTGCAGTGGAACACCTTTCCCACATGAAGAATACTGGAGAACCATTATATTTACCCGATGAAGCGATTGTTCAGGTCAGTGAGGCCTAAACCAAGGCAGTTTTGGCGGCCCCCAACTACATACCATGAGAAACCGCGTTCAACATGGCGCGGTAGTGGCAGTGTGTCAGTGTCATTCTTGGGGTGGATGTGGGCACATGGGCCAGGTGAACTGGTCAGATAGCGTTTCACTGGTGAGCAGTATGTAGACATCCTGAAGCAAGTGCTAATTCCACAGTCCGGGCTATGGCAGTTCCAGCCCCCCCCACACTATCAGGCTGGTTCATGACAACAGTTCTATTCATACTAAGCAACAGTGTGAAGGACTACCTCCAGGATCACCCCTGAAATTAGAGATAATGAATGGCAACACTAGGATGTGATATTAATCAATTGAACATATTTTGGCCCATGATGAAGCATTAATTAGGATATTAGGGGAACTGGCGAACCTTAATAAAATAGAGGTCAAACTTTTACGGCGTGTGGGAAGTATCAAATCGTGACCAGGGTGTGCCTGAGCTGGTCCTCCATCCCTGTCGCCTTGATGAAGTCCTGAATGCAATGGGTGGCTGGGTACTAGATGTAATGTATTAGTGTATTGTTTGTATTTTAGTATTATTTGTAAATAAATTAACATATATTAACTCACACACAGTGTTATCAGCAATCCGCCTTATGACGATCGTACTTCAAACTATATAAGCGAAAATTCAGCTTAACAGCCACAAGTGTATATGTTGTGTGGTATACAATGATCTGTATGACACGATAGGTGAGATATGTTGTCTTAACACAATATGTTTATATAATTACTGGTGCTACCATCATTGAAATGCTCGCAGGGTTCAAGCGCCGCATTAACAGTCTCTGGCTTAAAATATATAGAAGCTTGCATATTGACGGTGGGGTGTTTAAACGCTCTGGAACTTGGAAGAATTATAGACATGAATTAAGTCTGAATACTATTTTTACAATACTGATAACTTTTTCACTCACTCTTTTTTTTAACATAAGTATATAATTATAAAAATATTGCATATTATCCTATAAATATTTATTAAGCAAGGATGGGTGGAATATAAATAAATAATACCATAATCTCTTTGTGGAATAACGACAAAATTGTGGTAATTAGTTGAGTAAAACTATAGCTGATCCTTGCATATTTCAAATTTATCCTGAATATATTCCATTTTTAAAGCATCATTGTGACCTGTTGACAGCAGAGCCCAGGACACAGCTTGAAACAAATAATAAATAAACCTGCCTCTAAATCCATTACCACCTCTATTTCCCCCCCCACACACATACACTTTAAAAGTGGCGACATCATTGGCCGACCATAACCGCCATTCATATGTTTGCAAAACTTCAGACTCAAGGCTATTCGAAACCTCACTGTGGCTGGGTAGTGGACACGACTTTTGTGCACGATAGTACATGTAACAGTAAAAAAAAAAGAGAAAATGATGTTTAGGTGGATCCATGGTGACAAAAGCAAGCGAAAAAACTAAAGTTAATCCAAGCTGAGTTTAAGGTTGCAGCTCGACCTAGCACTAGCTAAACTCTGAGCCCACATGACGGGGATGCTACCAGTGGACTGCAATGGACGCAACCTCTGGCCCACTGGGGAAGCTACCTGTGGACTGTGATGGACTCGACCGCTGGCCTGCACAAAACTTTTTCTACCTGACCGTGTTCGGCTGAATTTTCAAGTGTTAGCCTGGCTCAACCCACGTTCAAGTAAATCTTAGCCCCGTGTTAAGAATTACCAAGTAGTAATAAAAAAGACGCGGTTCAAGTGAATTCGCGTTGAACAAACCAATGTTAAGCGTAAGGGGTAGTGTACCATCTACTGTAGCAAGTGTTGCTAACTGTCACTCTCCTCTCCCTCCATGAAGCAGGGATTGTACATGCACTGTATACTGTACATACACCTCAACACAGTAGACATACTGTACACTGTCCACTGCTTTATATGGTACTGTATGTACGATACTTTGACACTTGCAGAATGTGAAGTGCAGTATACATAACTATAATAACTTTTGTCTCAACACTGCTTTAATATTATTCTTGGCTGATTATATGCAGACACAGTAGTGAGCAAGTGAACAAGCTTATACAATGGCAGCAAACAATGAATTAAGAGTGACATGATGCAAGAGTTTGAGGAAATAGGTTAATCAGCTAATCATTGGTGTCCCATGCGGTCATATGAGACAAGTGGCCAATTGTAGCTCATCAGCACTCTGAGCCTACCCACCAACACACCTGGCATGCATCCCTGCATTGGAAACATGGTGCAATCTTCTGAAATTTGTTTAGATACCCAGATTCGAGAGATTTTCCCGGAATTTCTTTGTATGCTCAAAAACATTTTTCCAGCTATTGGAGAGTTCCAGGGATCAAAGATCCCGGCTAATGGAGAGATTGCTGTATTATATTGTACAGTATATTTTATTGCTATATTTGAAATACAGTAATATTAATTTTATTCATGTAGTGATATATTTTCTTTTATGAAATCAAAACTGTAGTGTAAAATTATGTGAACTTGTATTAATGTTGCACTTTTTCAGAATAGTACTATACTGTAAAGATACTGTGTTTCGCTCACTGACCATCCTGATTTTACTCGTAGGTTATCTGATAAATTTTCTTCAAAACAGGAGTGCAACTGAGACCCGGGCTGTCTTTGAAAAACATCGACCCTCTCACGTCATTCATCTTGCAGCCATGGTGGGAGGACTCTACAGAAATATGAAATATAACTGTGATTTCCTAGTACGTTTCTTATGTATTCGTAATTTAGATTCCCTGATAAATGGTGGATTGATCTGTAAATCCCATATTGTGACTGTGAACCAGGTGGCTCATGTAACTTGACCAATCATTATCCCATAGAATACCTCCCATTATAACTATTACTCTTGAAAAATGGAGATCAGAAACTTCAGTTGCTTTTTGAAGCAAGAAGCTACCGAGCTGTGTTACCATACCAGCTTGCATGCACTTTTACCATTTACGTGTTCCAAGCAGTGGCCATACTGGATTTTAAATGCAATTCCCAGTGGTCCACTTAGCTTCTTGCTACCCAGTGTAAGGAGAGAGGGTATTGAGCTGCCTTGGTACTGGATCGATTATAAAATGAGATTTCACGATCAGTCCATAATTTATAATCTGGCATCCTGATGCTAGCCTGTTCTTGTGTCTGAAGCCAGCCAGGAAGTGGGAGGAGGCTGTAGTATAAACTCTCCAGTGCTAGTGTGACATACACTCCAGTTAGGAAGTCAACACTGTTTTGAAGACAAGAGGAAGTCTATAAAGATGCAGACTTTACAAACATCTTATTGCTTTGCAATCTGTTAATGGTACTTTCTTGTGGAGGTAGTGATTGTAGTCATTAATAAAAGTTTTAGATACCTGTTCAGGGGTTCACCTAAGGGAGAGGTTGAGGGTGACCCCATATTCTAACTCTCATTCCCTCTGGTTTGCCCCAGTTCTCTCTCGTCCAAACACTTCTATGAAATTGAAAGTAGCTAGATTACAGCAGATTTTCACAAGTTTTCTCCTCGCCAAGATGAAGTGAGAACTGAGGAACATAAAGTGAGGTAGACATGACGAAGAGTGTATGATGCTGTAAACAGGGTAGGAATACGTAAGTCATTAATTATGAAAAATGACATAAAACCAACCATACCGTACTTGGCTTAACTAGAAAACTTTTATAAAATTATTCAAATACAGTAGAATAAATTTGGTCGATTTATTTTGTCTAGTGTAATGATGTTTTTTAAGAGTTTTTTTTACAGGGATGTGGCACTTTTTGTTTAAAAATTTTCTTACTTTATATATTGTTCTGGCAGGGTAAATTGATTTTCTTATTGACAATATTTCATGTATTTTGTGGGATTTTGGGAAGTAAATTCTTTTTGATAGTGTTAACTGTGCCCCACTAAGTGATCCATAAGTAACTCATTGAATTTTAACATAAATATTGTACCCCAGGGATGGGGGCATAGGAAAAACTTCAGTAAACCAGAAAATGTACAAATCTGGTTGTTCTCTTAGCTCCAACAGGCTGGATTACTGAGTTTATGTTACTGGGTACAGTATACCTTTAGTGTATGTACAGTATACAGACTCCTCCCGACTTACGATGGGGTTAGGGACCCAAATCCAGGTCGTAAGTCGAAATGGTATCGAAGTCGAAAATGCTTAAATAATACATAGAAAATCTAAAATGGGTGTCTCTTTTTCTTCTCAGCACCACAGAACTCTCACTTTTAAGCTTGTCAGCCATTTTAAAGTGAATTACAAACAAAAATTTTCTGTGTACTGATGTTGGGACTCGAAAATACGTAATTTGACAAAATTTTGCAACGACTGAGGCAGGTCGTAAGTGCGAGTGGTCATAAGTCGAGTAGGTCGTAAGTCGGGGAGGAGCTGTATTACTGTACAGGCCTACCTCTCGCAATGTTTTGTTATAATGCTCATTCTTCATGAAATTTTTTGCTGAAAAAAAAAGACTGAAATTTATCAGATGCTTCAATTTGCATGCGAGACCTGTTACAAGCTTTTGTTCCTGAGCTGGACACCTTACCAGGAACCGGGCGGTAACCGACCCCCACAGACTGGAACATTTTGTTTACTTACATTTCACCTCATGTTTAGCCTATTGCTAATGCACTATTCAGTCTTACTCAGGTATTCTACATCACTGTAGGAGAGGAGTAGCAAATGCACTGTTGGAATGCACAGTATATTGACAAGAAACACCAACAACCAGCAATAATCAAACATTAGCAATCGCCACACTAATACAACAGTTACATAAATATAAAACAATACCCTAACAACCACCCTAATCCTACCACATACATATTACAAACTTACATTACATTCTAAGCCAGAGTAACACTTTGCTTTCAACCACAACCGGCTCCACCGACCGGTTACCACCAGCTCCACACCCTCGTCCGTCTCAGAATGCTCTGCCCTCCTCCCTAGTGCACCGCTTCATTACAACTCCGTTCGAGATCTGTATAACACAGATATGGAGCTCCGGAGAGCCTAACCATGAGCCCAAGCTATGGGCCATCCAATGTATCCACGATCCACGACTCGAGGTCCGGAACATCAAGTCGGGAGATCGAGTAATGGAGGTGGAGCAGTGGTCAGCAGCAGCCAAACACGGGTCGATGGTCAGGTATCAGTCGGGTCCTCAAGCATATTCTATATCAAGCTTTGTAATACCTCCCTCCTCATAGGAAAAAAAAGGTGTCATTAGACATTCGTTTTTTTTTTTTTTTAACAATAGATGTGTTCAATATAGAATCTGCACATAGCACTGGTTTATACAACAATATAACTGATAAAATAAATCACCATAAAACATAATTGCCAAAAACCCTTCAACTCTCTAATCTATGAATAAGATTATATTAGTAAACTTCTAAAACTCATTGTGAAATCTGGAGATTATAACATACACGAGAATTGCCAACTTTAGTCTAATTCTGCAACAGTAAGTTGAGAAAAAAATAATAAAATAAAATGTCGAAACAATCAGTCTCAGCCTCTGGACAAAGTATCCGCCAATACATTTTCTTTACGTTTGATGTGGTGGATATCAAGGTGTTATCTTTGCAACTCCAGACTCCACCTTAAGATTCTTTGATTCTTATTACTCATTTGTTCAAGAAAAGTCCATGGATTATGATCAGTGAACACCTTTACAGGATTTTTAGCAGGATATATATAAATCTCAAAGTGCCTTAGTGCCATGATGAGCCCAAGTGTTTCCTTTTTGAGAGTTGAATAATTTTTCGGGTGTTTATAAAAAAATTTTGAGAAGAAACATGCAGGATGATCTACACATTTTCAACAGCCTGGCACAACACAGCTCCTGCTCCTATGTCACTAGCATCTACATGCAATATAAAAGGATCATAAAAATTTGGGGAAACGATAATGGGTGAGGCTACTAGCATGGTTTGATTGTGTTCAAAGCATTCTTGCATGAATCCGTCCCTTTCAATTTTACATTTTTCTTTCGCATTTCAGTCAACGGAGCAGCTACCTCCGAGAATTTCTTACAGAATCTGCGGTAATACCCGGCCATCCCTAGAAACCTCCTCACATTTTGCTTCGTTTTTTGGAACAGAAAAAGACGTTTTTTTCTAAAAAACAGTTTGTGTGATATAGTCCAGAATGCGACGCCTAGCTTTATACCTAGGTATGTAAATGCCTAGCATTAACTCGCCAGGCCAACATACAGGCAATTAAAACCTCTAATAATTACTTAAATACAGTGGTCCCTCGGTTAACGAACACAATTCGTTCCACAGAGTCGTTCGTTAACCAAAAATTTTGTTAACCGAATCCATTATTTCAATGGGATATTGGATAATTGGTTTCAACTCACAGAAAAGTACACACAAGGTAAAGCCAAAAATGCATATAGTCAGAAACACTCCTATAATTCCCCTAAATCGCCCTTAAATCACTAGATATATATCGTACATGTACACTCTTACTCTTAAATCACTACTGTAATGTGATACAGATGATTAATTTTTATCTCTTGTGCAAAATATATTATGTTTATATTCAAATTATTCGGTCTTGCAAGGATTCCAGCAATGCAAATTATATTCTCCTAATTTTAGTCTGTGATGTTATATAAGATAAAAACTTAAAGCCTACTGTATAACCACCAAACCCTTGCTGGGAGGGGGGGGGGAGTGGAGGGTGACAGTGACATGTTTGACAGTAAGCGCCGAAGGTCTAGTGAAGTATTTATTTGTTTATTTATGTTGTTTAGTTGAGTTTTTGTTTTTTGCTTATAAAATTTCATAGAAGTTACTGGGGAGAATATAATTTACATTGCTGGAATTCTTATAAGATAATGATTAATTTGAATTAAACATGCAATAGTTTGCACTAGACTAAAATTTTAGTATTCATTTTGCACAAATATTAAAGAGCACAATTTTCTTGATATTTTCTCCACTGGAAACAAATGTAAACATAGAACAGATTGCTGAATAGGCAGACCAGTCCATTAGCTGACCAGCTGATGCTCACAACAAAACGTGATGTTTGTAAGGATTTCGTTAATCGAATTTTTGTTTGTTAACCGAATTGAAGTTTCTTATGGAAGGTACAGGTGTTCTCCGACTTACGACGGGGTTAGGTTCCCAAATCCAGGTCGTAAGTCCGACATGGTCGTAAGTCCGACATAGATAAAAAAATAATAATAAATAAATAAAAAAATAAAAAAAATAAATTAAAAATAAAAAAAAAATAAATAAAAAATCTACAATGAAATACAGTACACTAAACGTAAAAAATAATGAGGAATGGATACAGTACAGTAAAAGTAATAAATAATGAGGAATGGATACAGTGTGACTGAGCACTTACCTTAAATGTAGTCAGCTGAATGCACACAGGGCCCCCATAATTTTCTATTTACAGGATACATGGAGACTATATTAATTGGAAGAAGCAGAAGAGGAGACAGGGCTGGGTGGGTCATCAATGTCGCTTCCTTCAGACAGGTTTATGTACTGTGGTAACTTGCTGGTTGAAGGTATTGGATCATCTTGAGGGAGTGAAGAGGCAGCACTGGTGGGGCGTGAGGAGCCAGTACTGGGGGACTTCTTGAAATAGGTGTCCAATTTAGACTGCACAGTTTTCTTTTTCTTTTCATTATAAATTTCTCTGTAGCAAGCAAGTGAATCTTGGATCATTCTGTCAACTTTGGCATAACGCTCATA